TACCTTGATATATCAAGTTGATCAATATCAGTTATTTATTGATATGTATTATCATTATTACACTTATTTATGAATTTGTATGACTGATCATTTGTATTTGTGTTCATTGTTTGATAGGAGATATCTGGTTGAAAAACAACAAAAGTGGTAAGTGCTACTTTCTGATATATTCTGGATCCAACTGGGCACTAATTCCAAGTAATCCTTCAATAATCTCCTCAACCAACAAACTCTCCAGGAGTCAGATAGTTGGGATGACTCATTTAATATTATGCCATATATCTCATCAAACAACTCCACAAAACCTATGTTTACTCCTCACCCCATGGAGACACTATCAGACCTGACCAAATGGTTTTTTATTGGTCATATTGAACTTAATATTTATTTAAAATTTGATTTGAAATGTTGGATTTTCTCATATTTTTACAAACCATAAATTAAGGTTTTTATCTAGTACCAGTCATGTTAATGATTTTTCCTTTTTAGTGCATTACTATTAAATAATGTTCGCCATGGAAACGTCTGATATTTCCTGACTAGGCCAGTTCCTGTATATAGACTGACATACCTGTATGGGGCTTTCACAGTCTGTCAAATACCCAGTAGGAAAGGTTTATCTTCTATATCTTATCCAAGTTTATTTCGTGTTGAATTGTCCAACTTTATCTTACCTTTTTAGCGAGTTTCCAGCACCGTGTAACATACCTTCACAATGTAATGTTCCTGTTCAATTCTAATCTTCATGTTCCTTAAGTTATATTTTATTATTAAGTGGGCCTGGTCGGACTATTTTAGGACCTGTTGCACATATGGTACAAATTAATTGGCACCATCACTAATTTTACTTACCTACCTGAATTCATGCACTCTGGCATATACAGTATATATATACCAAAGGAAGATCTCAGAGAAAAACTCTAAAAAAGACTATTCAATATTTATCTAAGGGCGACTTGGATCTATTTTCAATAAATCTAAACAAATATCAAAGATTTCGATTTTGCCTCATTTGGTCATATCTTACACACAGTCATGCTGACTAATACCTCACCTTTATTCCTATAATTCATTGGATTTTTTCAGACAGTTTCTTTGACTTTGAATTAAAATATATTTTAGGCATGTTTTCTTTAATTCCCAGTGAAAAGACCAGATGTAGTACTAGGGATTATTTAATTGAAATGTAAGAGTGGGATTCAATGGTATAGCCAGTTTAAAGCCCCCGAGATGTGACTATGAATTCTAGAAAATACAACTTCAATACATTTCAATCTTGAAAATGAAAATACAAAAATCTTTTCAGTATTGGTACGAAAATGAGATCAATATCTGAAGTGTTTCATAGATACTCATTTCTCACTAAACATTAATTTGTAACTTTTTAAAAACTTTTAAAGATTGAGTACCACATAGCGAGATACATTTACCAATATTTCAACAAGTAAATTAAAGACCAGACTTTTATCTTCAAATAAAGAACATAGGCTGTATAACTATGTCACATAATGAATTATAAAATGATGAATTGTGAAAAGAAAATTTTGTGATTACAGCAGTGCTGTTACAGAGTCCCATACACCCCAAAACACATCTGCTTGAAATTTATAAGAATCTGGGCTGTTTTTTCATGGGACCTACTAGGATATAATCTGGGAGGCAATTAAATATGACAGATTGATAAATCTCTATATGAATTAATCAAGGAAGGTTAACACCTATCTCCCACCCATTCAAAAATATTGCTGCGGCATACTTCAAAATATGTGTAAAATTTGGAAATAAATAACAGACATGTCTGGCATATAGGAGTTATTCCTATTGCAAAGATGGATCACTCTATAAACCAGTGGCAAGGCTGGTCAATTAACCATACAAGGTAGAGGTGGTTTTAACAACTGAAGACAGCCTCCGGAAAATAATTAGATGAATCCTTCAAAATATAAAAACATGACCACTAAATTTGATGTAGCATTTTACACCAAAATAAGGATGTATAATTTTGTCATTCTAACCTCATTATGTATCCAAGACATAGAAATATGTAAAGATATCGCCATTTGACAAACTGCGTCCCTGACCACTAAACACAAGTTATTTCTACATCATTGAAAAAAGTTTATAATTTGCATATGGACCCACCAACCCTGAAAGCATTTTCTCACTGGTTTTCTGCCTTGGTAAACTAATGACCCTTAGCTTTGACTATTAACATTATAATCTCACTTGAACTGCTCTTGGGGTGTTATAAAGCAGGGGTCATAGTCACAAAAGCTAACGGGGTGTACTAACCGGAGCCCTGGGGCATAGTAACACGCTGGTTGCTACACATACTGTTGGGCCTCAAATCTACTGAACCATTGTGAACTACATTATTAGAATACTATAGCCCTGTGCATTATAATACTACTGGACACAAATAAGATGAAAATGAGGAGGAAGAAATGAGTGAGCTGTGTTCTTTCACATGATCTACCCATTTTGATCTTTTGACACATTTTTGTCTGTATTGAGCACTGCATAATTCTGATAATCATAACTTTTTGATTTTTGAATGGCTACATTGAGAGACAGATCCTTTAGATAGATGAAACTAAACTTCAATTTTTCAAGACAAACGTCGGTGTTTCCACAAACCTCTTGTAAAGAATTACTTACTAGTTAATAAAAACATAGACATATAAAAGTATAGAAAATTATACCCTTAATGTCAGGGCTTTAATGCATTATTTAGATATAGATGATTAAAGAAGCAAAACCAAAACGGATGTACATATCCCCTTAATTAATCAGATGCGAGTAGGTAGTTACCAGTTTCGCCACCAGGTGGCTGATTCGGGGGAAATAACATGGCAGGGTATTACAAAATTCCCTTAATCTTGAATATACATCAGTTTAGTGGTTCACTTTTCATATTACCCTTATGTATCTGATAGTTATACAAATTGAAATATGTCCAGTAAAGGAAAATTTTATCTGCCCAACACAAGAAAAGATATTTCACTTTTTGTGATTTTACAACATGGGCTCTACGGGGAATCTCCCCGACCTAGAAGTCACATTTTCAAAGAAAATTAAAATTCAAAGTTGATAAACTCTTTTCAAAACCACATTTCTAGATGTAATTTTACATGTAGATTCCAAATATGGCGTCAGTTTGACGTATTTTTTTAATGTTTTAATTTTTAATGACTTAAATCAAGATTATTTCTACTCGCATCTAGTCTATTCAAAGTACACTATACTGTAAATGAAAATGTTTTATAGCATTAAAGTAAGTGGGTGCAGCACCCACCTGAGATTTTTAAAACAGGCTTGCACCTACCTGAAATTCCATTTGCACCTACTTAAAAATGAGAAAAATCATGAAAAATTGATCATATTTTGACCAATTTTGGTCTGAATTGTGAAAATGATAATTTTGCACCCACCTGAGAAAAAGTCCTTTGGAGATCACTGGTAGGTGTATAATTATGTATATTTATATATTGATTTTGGCTTGCACCATCCCTGAGCACTTTCCTTATAAGTAGTTTTGTCACTGCATGCTGACATGATGACTATTCATCTTACACCAGATCAAAAACTGATACTGTCCTTTTTGTACATTCCAAAATTTAAAAGCATACAATTTAGTTGAAACCCATCCAACAATATCTTGAAAGCATGACAATATATGACAAACATACCCATGGCCAATTTGATATCTGAAATAGGCGAATCCAAACAAAAAACTGAAGGAGATGTTTATGTCACTGTTCACTATGTGAAATTACTTCATATATGTGTTACATGTTTAAATCACAGCAGTTTTCTTTTTAAAAAATGATGTTTAATGCAGGATGCATCCATGATGCATAATCCTATGATTAATTCACTGCAACACTGACATGTCAAAACGTAGAATAATTTGTAGTTTGAAATGTTTATTTTGGATCCCATTGAGCACCATGGAAAATCATTGGCTTATACAGGTGTAGACTCTAATCAAGTGTCAAGCTGGGAGAAATTTATTATTGTAAGGGATAAGGTATCATTAAACAGTCAAATAATGTATGATAAAAGCAGTAAAACTATGTCCACTTTATACCATCTCTAATGTGTTTTAAAGTTTCACTTTTTGTTGTTGCCAAGATATAACAGTTAATAGCATCTTCGATCAATTAGGTCCGGACAAAGTCAAGAGCAAAGATATGTTTATTAGATAGTGGTGAACAATTATTAAAGTTCTAAGTTTTAAAACAAATTTTACAAATCAAAGATGGTTTTATTAGATAATGGTGGACAAAAAAGATGTTAGAACTTATATCATTCAATACGTGCCTGTTTGAAACTAGAACCTTAAATGGTTGAGATTAAGTGTTGATACTAGTTAAAAGGTTTATTTTAATGCTTCTGTTTTTCTTTTAGGTATTTCATTTGAGAATATTTGGACCAGGTTTTCAAAGATCCATGTACCTTATGACTGTTTTTAATACATCTTATCGTGTAGTAGTTTCTAGTATAAAGAATCTTGCCAGTGATTTTTTGACTATGCATGCTTTTAATTATGTTTTGTTTACTTTTCAAGGGAATATACAACAGTTGTAACCAATTATTTGAAGAACTTATTTACATTTCTCCCGATCTTGTATTACAAACAGTGCAGAAATAATTTAGTCAACTTGCTATTTGATTTTTATGTTTACACAAAATATTTTCAAAATATAAAATCTGTGTATTTTTCAATTCCATCTATACTATCAAAATCAGTTTTAAAATTGTACAAATAGATTTAGTAATTCGACCTGTGGACGTATAATATCATTTAACAATGTTGCAATATGTCTAAGTAACAAGACACCATATTAAACCTACATACACTACCCGAGAATTTTAGAAACTTATTTTACACCATTTACACCTATACATTTGTGTTTTCAAGTAGTTTACCCCATTCAAAAAACTTATCAAAGGCATTCAATTCATCATGTAGCAACTGACAAAGAAACGGAACTCACCTCCGCTGAGATTGTACATGTTAGGAGCAGTAGATGTAATAACTCCAATGTTTCACAATGATGCAGAGAACATATCGCAAATCACAGCAAGTCTGTAGTTTACTGTACAAGTGTGTTGGCCAGCCAGCCGTGTCACTCTCCACTTGGTTAACCCTATTCTCCCCAGGCAGATCTAGAAAACATTTATAACATTAAATATATCGTTAACACAGTTGAATTGACTAACACATGGAGAGTCATTTCTATTGGTCTGTTTGAGGAACTACTGAGCGCTATTCAACAAAACTTATGACCCGCCAAAATTACAAGTTGTCTATTGAAATATTGGAGCCCTCAAGCACACTTTTATTTAGTGGTATTCATACAGATATCAATACAAATGGCTGTCTAATGTCTATCCTCACCTAAAATTTATCAGGGCTTTATTTTAAGAAATATGTAGACAGAGCAACTGAGAAAAACTAACAAACGCCACCTTTTCTGAGTGAGGCTTGAATATTCCTTGGTTGAATCAAACAATCAAATAATAAAAAAAAAACTTCAATGACCCAAATGGTATTATAGAAATGTGTAAAACATATAAAGATGTGTTTAAAATATAATATTACAAGATTTAATGATTATTCAATAAAACAATTTACAATTTGATTTCACTGACAATATATAATACTGAATATTCAAAATTGTTATCACCCCAAAAAACTCAAAATTTACCACATCTTTATTTTAAGAACTCATTACTAAGTGAGTTAAACATGCAGTTATCTCAGTAAAATCTTTAACTCTATTGTATTTTTATATTTCTTTCTGTAAAGAGTACCTTTAACGGCCTTTAACTGAGATAAAGCATAAGATTGTTGGTTTTTACATTTCTTTTGCATGATCAATTGATCATCCAGTAATGTTGCAAAAGTATTTTTAATAGAGCAATTCACAATTTCAAATTAGATGTTTTTATAAATATCAACTTAACATGCAATAAGTAATCACTAAAATAAGACTTTATGTTGTATTAGGTATATAATATAAAAAAGATTTCAAAGGATTCTGCTACCTCCCATGTTACTTGTTGATTCATATTTCAATATACCCTTTAAAATATTAGCTGAAAAAACCACAACCTATTTTCTATTGTGGGTGAAGTGTTAAAACAGAGACAGCTTAACAGTTGCTGAATACCCTCATCAAACATGTTCCAATACTTCAGACATAGGTATGTTTCTCATGATGATTCTCACAGTACTTGAAATAAAAGTAATTTTCTGATAATTTGGTGATATTCAATGATTAGTGAATAGTACAATAACTACAATTAGTCAATACTCAACAAGCTCTTTTTAAAGACTCCCTGAGAAAAGCGAGTAGGAGCCCATTGAAACTGTCTCAAATACAGGAACACTGGGCTATATTTGTACATGTAAAGGTTACAGCAGACGTGATATTATATATTTGATTAACTGATTTTACATGCACTGTCAAAACCTTGGAAAATATTTGCACAAATAGTCAAACAAATGATATAAGAAATAAAACAACATTATAAATAAACAATTTTCATAGCTATTGCTTTTTCCAAGCAGTCTCATTCGCAGGAAAATAATACCCCATTCAAAGACGTTCATGAATTTCACATCTAATAATATGACCAGCGCCAGTTAGCATATCATGCATTTGGTATTAAATTTTCTAGACACAATAATAATTACAAGAATTTGACTCAATACAATAAACCAATTTGGCTTATTCCATTTTCATTTTTCTAATTTACAACATGCAACTAAGTGCCACCTTGACACTGCATTATTCACAAGACTGATCTAATGATATCTTGTTTTTTTTGAGTCTACTCAAATGTGTAAAATGATGGCACTAGAATGAACATAAATTATCACAAATATTCAATTATCACAGTTAGTGTCAGTTTATGAACTGAGTATGCCTTGTTATTTAACCAAAGACAGCTGGCTGTGATATCCATTAATTTGAGGAACAATGCAACAATTGTTCTTCAAGCAATTCTAATGCACTGATAACCTTCAAAAACAGCAAAGATTACACAAGGTGTTTAAGGCCAGACAAACCAAGTCCCGAAGATGATTTATTGAAATTTAAATATGGCTAAAGACAATACATCAGGACAATATATCTGAGTATTTACATGCAATTAGTTTATTTGTACAATTAAGGACTGGCAGGCCTGTTTTTTAGACCTTCAAGGCTATATGTAACAAATTGATATATTTTAAAGAAAAGTAAATTAGGACTTGTAATTAGCCTTTTTTAGAATGAACTTCATGAAGTGAACGAACATTCTCAAGTTTTCGTATCTCAAACAGTTTGATCGAAAATCCTGAATGTTTAGAGACTCATCAGCTAACCCTTCATTAGCAACCCAAATTAAAACAACCCATCAGATATTTCTTTTTCTTGTTGCAATGTCATGATGGCTGTATTAAGATATTATGAATTATGACTGACAATTCTGTTCTCAAAAAATATGTTTCAGCTTCTTGGCGCCAATTTGGAGATAACACAATTTCAAAATCCTCTTTTCTTGATCACTAAAAATTAAAGACCAACTTGACTCCAGGTGACTAGAGATGGAAAACTTGATGTGAAACAACCTGGAATGATGTAGAACCATGTCTTAAAATGACCCTTTCCTTCTACCATTTGCATGAAGACCCAAGGCCTGTAGCCAGAGGAGGGGGGGTCACGGAAGGGGCGGCTGCTTTCCCCATCGCCAGAAATTCTTTCAAAATCATGCAGTTTTTTCACCATTCTGAGCATTTTTTGCATTGCTTTTTGCCCAAACTGTCAAAAAGCTCCCCTCTTGGCAAAAACTCCCCCTTGGTAAAACCGCTCCCCCCTGGTAAATCCTGGCTACAGGCCTGCACCTCGACAATGGCTTCTTGCAGCATGTACCTTACATACTATTGTTAATATTCATTTCACATTCAAACTCCCATAAAAGGCCATAGAAGTTTCATTTGAGATTGTTAAGATCTCATCTGCATAATATTGCAGAATCTTCTGTGATAGTAAGAGGGTAATGTGGCAAGCCAATGGGAATCAGGGTGATTGAGATTTGAGGTGTTCTTTTAGTTTATTTCAAGTTGAAGGCAGAAAGATGTGATGAGTATCAGAATGGGGTGATTCTAGGATAAAAACATCCACAATTAAACTCACATTCTAAACAAAGAAGGGAAAATTAGTCTTGCTTCAAGAATGAACCCTAATGTATTTCACCTTCCAAACAATACAACTATTACAGTCTTGGGGCAAAACTATGGGAAAATCTAAGATCTCTATTGCTTGAACAATCAATCAGAAGTCAAGCACATCATTAACCTTGACATCTCCATCTGAGATGTAAACCATGTATAAGATTTAGTACACAGTAGGTAAGGTCATGTATAGATCCACTAGTACTAGCACCACATATCCTGTGTATATGTAGTTTACTGGTGTTTTCAATTCTTTATTTTTTCCATTTTTTTGAAGCAATAAATAAACTTAAGTTAGGCGTTGACCCTTATTGTTCCTTTATTTTTCTCAGAGAAAAGGTATTCTTTATTTACTGCCAAAACACCACTAGTTTTTTCTGTGAATGATATAGCCATACATTAAGACATTCACCTACCTACTTATCATGTATGTTGTAAATTAGAAATGTCTATGTTCTTAGAGGATTTTCGAGATCTCACCGGGCTTGTTTGTAGGTAAAATATAGCCCATGTAGAGCTCAGTCCAGCCCTGTTCTTAGTATGTGCTGTGTGTGAAGTCGTGTCAGTTTAATTGACAGGCTTAACACATCATGAGCAACCTCAACAACTGTTGTTTCAATCTCGCAACTTTCCCAATGTGAATGCACATTTATTTTTTTGGAAACAGAGACAATACAGACTTTAGCACACACAGACAATTTTCTCAATTTTTCATTTTGTAAGGCCTACACAGGGAGAACCTGATGTTCGGTAAATCAATTTCAATGACTTCATCATATTTTGTTGTGTACTTGAATGAATGATGGCTACACATGTTAAAATATATGCTAACATCTTAAACGTAAGATAAAAATCATTATGAAACATTTGTGCTCTCTAAGTAGAGTTATAAGCAGCTGCATCAGCTCAACTACGAGGGTCTAAATCAGCTCCATGAACTTCATTTTTGCCTAATGATTATTACTATTTTGTTTCTTTCATTGTCTCATATCAAGTGTGGATGTCTGACTAAAAAACACACTCTCTCAATTAACTCACATTTTAGTAATTCAATGGCCAAAAACACAAGTGTTGCACAATTAAGACTTGAGTAGGAACATACTGTCATTTTTTTATATATTCAATGTCAAATGTTTTGTCTCTAACTCAAGGATGCAAAATATAAGCATAAAGTAAAAAGCAAGCTTGTTGGATCACAACTAAATGAAGACTTTCAAATCTACTCCAGGAAGTCCATCATAACATTCTGCAATTTTCTTTTTTCAACTAGCGATTTCATTTTTAACTATTAATTCTGGAATAAAAATAAGGACCTCTTTATTAAAGAATCTATACCCTTGTTAAAAACCAAAGTAAGCGATTAAATATGATCTGCAACTTATTTCAAATATCTGGAAACAATCATTCTGAGCATCTTCGTCATGTCTTTAGAGGTCTCAAGAAGAAAAGAGTTGCCATTCATTGTTAGCGAGGGGAAACAGATACGCAGAAAGCTACATCAAAAATACAAATTAAACCACTCATTGAAGATAAATGGATGACCAATGCACCAATTAACTTCCAAGAAGTTTGAAAAATGTCTGCCAGTTGAGCATCTGACACAGCAGGGGGACTCTGGACTCTACTTTTAACTGGTCATATAATACTTCCAGACAATCTATGAAACCTTAGACTTTAATCCAAAATATGACTTTTTACCTTGGGCTCTCTCTGAATGTTTCATCAGGATTGATTGATCAAAAGTTACATATATGACAAAACATACAGTTATATATTTTTGTTAACATTTTTTGAGCGACAAAGCAGTTTTAATGCATATCAATCCAAATAATAATTGATGTGATGTTCATGCATACATCTTGAAGTTACATTTACAGTACATGCCTTTCCTTACTCTTTATAAGTCATTCTTCAATCATAAAAACATGATCCTGTCTACATGCTGGTTGAAGCCTGACCGGAAAAGGAAATTCATAAGCATACACAATATGTTAGTATTTCTCTTTTGATTAAGAGCCATTTTGGCAAATAAAAACTATGAATGCTCAAACCTGAGCCAAGAATCATGCATTACCGAACATACTCCATCAATAGGAGACAATCAATATCCAAACAAGCCACTTTGCAAGAAAAACTTAAAATAAATTACGAAAATCATATGTCTGTTTTTCAGAGGTGAACCAGAGATAACAAAGAAACAGACAAAAACATCACAGTGGGAGCAACAGACAAACATCAGAACTTACGGTTCACAGCTTCAGTTTGGTGTTTAATCCAGTTAAGACAGCTAAACCTCCCTGATGTAAATCCCTTCCGTTCTAATCCAGTATGTCTCTATAAAATGCTTCACAACATGTATGGTTTAGCTTCTCTCCAAGAGGTTTCTTTATTTCCACAAGCAAGATCTTTGTAAGCAGCCATAGAGTGCAGAGTGCTTGTAATAGTATCCTGTGGCCAATGGCTGTAACACACAAGATAAATACAGGTTCAGTTTCACTCAAGTTTAAGACGGATTCAGGAAGGATTCAGGAATCTCCCGCAGTGGTATAAATCGTCATGGTAGCCATGTTTTATAAAGTTTAAAATAGAGTATAAAAAGGAATTATCTATCATTAAAGTACAGAATTATGAAGAACTTAAATTGTCAAAAAGCCAGGAAATTCAATTAATTTTTACATAAATATCTTTCATACAAATATTAAAAATTCGAAACCTCTCAGTAATAAGAAAGAATCATGATTAATTACCATTGAGGATGTGAAAAAGTTTAACTTTAAAAAGAGATTACAACTCCTGGGAAAGTATATGCTGTGCCATCATGAAGTTAACTAAAGAGAACCTTAACACTAGCTCCCCCAATTAGCAGCACCAAGAACTAAAGTTTTAAAATTGGATTCTGTACACTTTTCATTATTTTACTTATCACAATTTTATCAATATATATATTCTCCTGACAAAGAAGTACAGATAAAGTATAACAAGACATGATAAATGCATATTTTAACCCTAGAAAGACCCCAATGCATTAGTATGTTTAAGTAGGTTTCAATAACATTTTGATACTCATCACATTTACTTGAATCTTACAGTAGATATTCCAAATACAGAAATTGTTATGGTATTCTACGTTTTATCAATGCCAAATTTGATATTTTCCTCACAACCATGCAGACAATTAGTAGACCTTCACTTGAATATCTTAATTAATCAATTAGATGATATCCACCAAACAAGATTCTGATAATTATCTATCTCTACTATCATTCTGATATTAATAGGATTACTTGTGTTGTCATAGATACATATGATATAACAATTACACTGAAACGGATATGTGTAGAAATAAACATTATCAAAAGTCAATAAAGTAAGCCAGAAGAGTTGAAGAATAAAATATGAATTGAACTCAAATTAATCAAAGTGAATATAAAGCTCATCTAGCACAAATCATGAATACCATAATAATGGCAATATGAACTTCATTTTTATCATTTAACTCTTGACTGACTAGTAGCCAACCGTGATGTTTTCTCAGAAAAGACAAGACTGAGAAAATAAGATTCAATTTTGAAATCAGAAAACGTAAGGAGCAAGGCTAGAAAAATCTAGAATAAATTCAAGAAACCCGAATTCAAAATATAATCATTACTTCTTCAAATGGAGGTGGGTCAAATTCTCAAAAGTGACAATTTGCCACATACCTCCCCTAGTTGATGTATGATGATATAACTATGTAACTGATAATTAGCAGATCCTAATCTGTCATTAGGATGTTAATTTTCCCTCCAGTTCTAGGATGCACTAATACAGGGGAATTAAACACCTAATGGGGCCATTAACAAGGAGTAATTAAATCAAGCTGTCTTTGATGGAATAGCTTACTGGTTAGAAGAGTAATATTTCAAGAATATGGCTAACCCTCATCTCGATTCATAAAGTTCCAGTTGCTCCAACTTATTACCACTTAGACGTCTAAGATGGCCAAACCCTGTGAAAAGATCTTTTCAAATCCAAGATACTGAATGAATTCTATGATATGATGAGTATAAAAATTCAAAAAGTTCCACCTCAAAAATTCCTACAAGTTAACTTGAGAAATCAGTCAAGATTCTGCAAAGCGGTATTTCACACAAAGACTGATACGTTCAGCACCAGTTGCCTCTTGGCACACCTGTGCACTGATGTGTGACTTTGATTCACTTCACAACATGTCAACCTTCATTTACTTCATCATCAATTTTCCTTACTTCCTGATAAACTGCTGATTGATGGCAAACTGAGAGTTCAAAGTTTTTCAAGACTATAAATGTCAAGATCATTTCATTATACCCTTTTCAATTGTTTTCTTCAAAAGAGGGTTTCTGTATTTAACTACAAGCCACTGGGTACTTTCACCATGATAATAACAAAAAATGTCTTATGACTCCCCCCTGTCCACCATAAACACACACCATCTCCTTGGTAGGAGGATAGGGGGGATTTGTTGTAATAAGACCAAAAGGAATGTCTTCAAATGTTAAGCAATTTATCTAAAAACTGGGTGTTTCAGAACTATTTTGCAACAAGAAACAAGAAAACTTCATAAAAAACTCCTTATTCATTCATATCATGTAGAATAAATCAGCACCACAAGTGTTCCTCTGGAGATAAATGACTTGCAACCATCTCAAACTTTGGACTACCTACTAGAAAAGTAAATCTCCTCCATAAATTTGATATGGCCAACAGGTGCAATGGCCATTAATTCAAGACTTTGGAGGTTGGTCCAGCTATAAAGACAACATCTGAAATCTATAGCTTTCTCTACTTTGAAAAAAGATATCAAAGATGCAGACTTGTATGTGGGAAAATATCCATCAGCTAAATTCTACTAATCTTTAGACACTTAACTTCAACTATCTATCATTAATAAGATAATGAACTAAATTATAAATGATAATTCAAAATTGAAATTTCCTGGTCATCTTCACGCGAACTCTTGTTGGTTGCTCTCATTGGATGAGGAACAAAATTTATAAACAATAATTAAAAATTGAAATTTTGTGATCATTTTCACTTGATAACTTGTGGATTGTTCTAACTGGATGAAATAGTACAATATGACTAATGGTCCATCTTTAGTCCAATATTTAATCACTTTTTTGCAATGAAGTCTGATATGAAAGATGCCACATTCAGAAATCAGAATCTTCTTGCAAAGACAGATAAAAATTACAGTTATAACCTGGTCTGGTGTGTTCGAAATTCTTTCTACTCAAAGTGATAGCAGTTACTCTATAAAACAGTAAAGACCAGATTGATTTCATGGCCTTCACTGTTGGGGGACTAATAAAACACAGCAAGTTTGACAGTCACTGAGAGTTCAGATCCTTTTCAATCAAGAATCTGATCATGAATATGTTCCATAAATCCCTATGCCAGAATGATAGATGATTAAGTAAATAACATAAAAGTATACATTTTCATCAAATTGTTTCATTTTGAATACATACATGTTAAACATGATTCAGAAAAAAGGAATGGCAACTCTTCTCTGGTTACTGTGGTTGATAAGGAAGCTCAATGTTCCACACCAATGGAGTGATCTATAAAACATGTGTTGGAAGTGGTACCTACAAATACAATATCACATGAGACAATATACAAATGAAAACATTGCACAAAACACCATTATGGAGGCGTAAAGTTTTATTTTTGAAAATTGTTCATATTCTAAATGCTGTATAAGTGCTAAAAACTCCTTATCAATCAACATCTAATAACAAATCAGACTTTAGAAGAGGAATAAGATGATAATTTATCCAGGGTTGGGTTGATATATACTCCCTCATAAAACCTCAAGCCGGGGCAGGTTTCAGGCATATGTACCACATAAAGGAACTAATCACAGCTCTATGTGATGTGTTGCTAGAATATAAAGCAAACAAATACAAAGAATAAGCTGGAACATGGAGTAAAACAAACATCCAATCTCTTTGAGAAGTATCTTTAATTGAAAATGGCCATATTTATATGAGATAGATGGCACTAACTCCAATGTCATATGCTTTACATAAATTGCATGTACAGTGTACTTGTATATTTTAGTGTTTATGATGACTGTCTATGATGTATTTTTTCTTTTCAGTTTTACTATATGTTATTTGATCAACTTGTGATTTTTGACGCAGGAAATGAGACGGTTAATTTGGATAATTGAACGGAAATAAAGTTTTGCAAAACATTAGTTTCTTTCTTTAAACCACAGACGATATTGTCATATTTCAAGCATGAGGTGACTGGCAAAACCACATAAAAAATGTCGGCATGTTGACATCAGATTGAAAAATTAAAACTAAATCTGTGAACTTTTATTTTTAATTCATGAATAGGTTTTATGAATGTATCCGAATGTGTCTGCAATAATTCTGTGTCAATTTGTGGATAACTATTGGTAAATATGTATAGTAGTTGTGATTAGGACCTAAGCATTTTAGCAAATAAAAAATTCACAGAAAGTTCAAAGCGTGTGTTTATTCTGTTCTTTATAAAGACTCGCAATGATTTTAACAAATAAACCAAGTGTTTATTCAGCAAACAAAGCTACAATTCGACTGCCACTGAATCTGATCAAATTGTAAAAGATTTAACATTTCAGTGAAAATTCAATTGAATTATTTATTAGATTTCGGCAATAGAGTCGTGTAGCTGATATTTTGATTGGATATTGAGACTAAATAAATCTTGCAAATTAACCCTATGTCACAAGTGGCATAAAGATTATACCCTTTTTCTCCCACCTGACGGCATTACAAATAAAAAAAAACATACAAAGCATTACTTCACATTCACAAAATAAATAATAATTCAGTTACTACTTTTTCAAATTTCAAAGACTTTTGCATGTAATATTTTTTTCAGGATATTTGCAAACAGTACTTATTCATAAATTTTCATTACTGGTAGGCCTAGATATAACATTTATATATCCCGAAGAAAGCTTTTACATACTACTTTTACCTCCCTGAAATCTAACTGATTATGGGATCAATGATCGTTGCTGCGAGGAATTGAATATAGGGTTTATTCTAAGGGAAATATCTATATCTCCTGGCTGGGTCACTGGATGGACCAAGGAGATATACAGATATTTCTAGGAAGATAAATAAGAGTTAGATGTGCTGGAAGGTTCTTGATATAGATTTATCCAGAGATAGATATCAATAGTACTTTCTTCGCTTACCCAATATCCATAATTTATAGAACAGTTTGACTATACTATCGTAATACAATTGTCCACAGAATCTGGCATATCTAAAACTCATAATCGGCAGAATTCATATTTTGTTTAAGTTCATTAAGGAAGATCCACATCATGTAAATCTTTATGTGGGTTTCAAGATTATGGTACCAATAATTAAAAAAATCATCTTGATATTATTTTAAAATAATTGTGAGGATAGAATTAATTGTATCAGAATT